AGCAAGCTTTGTGATATAGTAAAACTCTAAGTCTATTTCTAATGAACAACATGTTTAAATTATCAACACATGTACTGATAAATATATTATCACCACTGGAAAATAAATATAAAGATCTTATTTCCTCACACCATCTTGTTAAAATGTACAATAATGTTTCTTGCAAAGGCATATTCACAATCGCCCGTTGTCCAACTTCTCGAAGGTTCAAACGGACAAAATGTTGTTGTTGTTGTTGTTGTTTTGTTCAATGGAAATGCATGTACAGATAAATATAAATTACACCACTGGAAAATGAAAATACTATTTCCTCACACCATGTTGTTATGTACAATGTACAATAATGTTTCTTGCAAAGGTAAATGCACAATCACCCGTTGTCCAGCATCTCATAGCTTTAAACTGACAAATTGTTGTTCTGGTTGTTGTTGTTTTGTTCATAGGGCGTGCATTTGATATATGTAATATAGGGAATTAACATAAATAAAAATGACATGGTATGTTGCACTTTTGTTCCTGTAATTAGGTCAATGTCCCATTCATTCAATTAGACACAGGGAGAAAGTTTGATTTTAAGCATAACTAATATGTAAATCGTTAGCTCAGGGAACAATCTCATTCTTCTACATGTATACACACATACGACGAAGCTGTTTCGCCTATTGTTTCTTGCTAATATGTTAAAACATGACACTTTCCATTAAACTGAAAGCACAGTTTTGATTATGTATCAATCCTGGATCGTGTCTGATTCGCTGACAATAAAGGTTCATTATAAAAATGGAGTCAGCCGTTGGACACCGTGGTAACATTTGGCGGTAACAGTTCTCGTGCCTGATTAACTGTCGTCTGCCGTGTAAGTATGGTACCAATTTTGTAACCCCCTTCTTTATATTTGCAATCATTCATTAACATATGTAGATATTGTTGATATTTGATTAATACATTGCATACAAATATGCCAATTATATTACTTGTAAGCATTTGAAATGTCTGTTATACGTCTTTTATAAATGTACTCTCTTTCGAAAAATATGCATAACATTATATGAAATTATAAAAATAAAATTCGTTTGGATAGAAACAAAACTTCTGTATTTCTATTGGTTATCAGAAGTACTTAAAAGAAAATTGTCTGGTTATTTCTCAAAAGTTGGCTACCATTTATGGTTATTAAAATTGCAATGATTGCAAATATTTATTAAAGCAATACTTGTTTACTATATTAAAAGCTTCAATTTTCTTATGCACATTTCGGAATAATTTTCCTTATGCGGCACTTATTGGGTTCCCGTGCATGCTCGTATAGTACATAAGTGTGCTTATTTGAATATGACAACATTTTCTACTTTGCAACGTGTGTTTTTTTCCCTTTTGTCAAGGCTTTGTCCTTGCTTAAGTAGGCTTGTATGAGAAGGTATCAATACGGCCGGGGACATTTTTGTTTTGTTAAATTATTCAAAGTATCTTTCATTAGCTTTTTTTTACATAATGAAATATATTTGTATCGCCATATGCGTTATTATTTAGAAAAATATTTCCCCTTTTATCATTTGTCCGCAGAAAATAATGTTAATAAAACCACACAAATTATTGTTTGTTTTTATCAACAGGTTATATAATCTACTCCAATACCCTGCGAAGCAAGAAAATATAAGAATTAACTACGTATGATGCATTTCGTGATTTAATTAACTCGTAGTAAAGTATACCACTGGGTTCCTTATTTGATAGTATAATTGAAATACTGGCGCTTTCATGAAGAATTCTGCTCAATTGACTCTGGCTTCGCGTAGTGAAAAGTGGTAAAATCACTTACAATTACCAATGATTAATCGTGAAACGTGAATGGCTGATCCGCAATATTGGAAATGGGGAGTAAAGAATCACTATACCAACACTGCAACGCTGAAAGCGGCGCCCAGGAGGTTACAATAAATGGAATATGAATATTAGGGGCGGAGAAAAAACAGTTTATTAAATATCTTGAATAGCTGTTATGTTTATATATACAGGAAAACTATGGTGAATTTTATTTGGAGAAAAACTTCTAACAATGGTTTTGTTTCAAAATTCTCGGTGAATGCACGTGTTGAGTTTATTACCATGATTGTGCATTCTGTGACTATCTTTTCATTTCCTTATGATGGAATATGCTACAGGAGAAATCATGACTTAAATACTGTAATGAAATAATAGCATTAAGATAGACAAACTAATTTTTATGCAGGCGGAGTGAAAATTTTCAGCACGTGCTTAGAATGTAGCATATTTGGATACCAGACGAATAAAGAATTTATAAATGTACCAGTGACATATTTGCACAATACAGGTTGTCGGAAAAACCGTGCATGACATTGTTTTTCTGTCCTTCTTGCTGCATTGATAAGAGGTCAATGCATGACTTACCATTATACTTCGAATATTGATAAACTAATACATGTACTTTTATTAATACAAAACAAAAGTTTAAAAAACACCATCAAATTTCAGTGTTGTATTTCAGTCACGGTCTGAACTACCGGTCACCTATAAAGAACGTTACCCTGTCTGTAACGGTCATATTTGAGTCCAACAAAAAGAAATTTCATTATGTATACCCTGTTTAGACCTTGGCCATGTTTTACAAACTCAGAGGTCAATATAACACAAACCTATGTTGATAATTTAACGGTCAGAGGCAGAAAAATTACAAAATCTATTAAAATACACGACATGTTAGCATTACGGCATCTAGCAGGAAACGTCGAAGGGCTGATATACGCATTTACTGCTTATTTAGGAGACATCATTACAGCTTGCACTACAGTTTTTACTGATCATTTTAAGGAAGAAAATAAGTCATATTCGCTAAGGAAACGAAGTATATGTTACAACACAGTGATTTTCAAGTTTCCGCTACCCGGTCTGCGGTTATTAGGCCGATCTATGTCTGAATCCATTCATCTCTCGCGAGATTTAATCGATATATTGATAAATATACATTTACTATTCTTCATAAATATCAATACCGACGGTGAAATGTTGTAGCAGATATGTTTTTTTTCTCTCTCGTAATTTCAAACGTTGATAGAATGAAACAGCCAGGTTTTCATTGTTCTAAATTTGATTCTTTCTCTCTGCTAATAGCATTTATTTCAAATATATGAATGAATGTATTATTTGATAATTTATTGATAATTCTATTTTTATTTAGCGTCAATGTTTATTATCGTGGTTAGATTAATTCTGAATCACTTGCATATACATTGAAGTTTTGTGTCGTTGTCTTTATTTTTGCGCATTTAATTATCAGAACGTGGGTACAAACGTATGATGTCATTGTTTAATTAATTTATAGATGCTTTATAAATTTCGTCTTGTAAAATATTGTTTACTAGACATAATATACTATTTTTTGTGATCATGATTTCAAACTTTATAAGAATACTCCTCTTCAAGAACTGTCCTACTCGATGGCAAGGCAAAGCCACGTCAGTGGTCAACGGTCAGGTGAAATGGACACATCGTAAAGGTAGTATTTATCTTATGTATGAACCGCACTTTAACTTGTATACATTCATATGCTTAATATAACATATATAATATTTTACAGGTACAATGTACATGTATAATGCTGAATAAAAGAGCAAAGACGTGAGGGAAGAAAATAATTCGGTAAGAACGCCGGCTATAAAAAAATATCCACACAACTGGGTTTTTTTCTTCTGTATAAACGAATTTATAAAACTGCTCTTTTTGAAAGTTCATAAACATCGCCTTGATAAAATCAAATACATTTTACAGTTCTTAAAACATTTCTTCAAGCACCTAAAGATCTAATCGTTCGATTCAGTAAGTTTGTATGATATTTCTATGCACGATTTACAAGTAAAGCACGACAATCCCGAACAAAAGTTAATCCGCGAAAGATGGGGCGATATATTATATAACCGTAGAAGAATTATTACGCCATGAAATGAACAAAAAACAGTAGTAATTTTGTAAACGACGTTCCGTAATCTACGTTTTACACTGGCTTCCCATACCAAACCCTGTCATAAAACAGTTGTTTTGAGGTCAAGGTCGCAATTTACAAGCATATATCATTTCTATATCTAAGCTTTACCCGGCTGGATATGATAAAAGAATTATGGGGGATGTCGCCAGACGCTGGGTACAGTAAGCCTGCTCTGTTGATAACATTCCAAGAAATGACGTGTCTAGAGCTTAAACATTTTATACAATTCTTGAGAGAGAAAAAAAACAAAACATATGATTTAGGCAGAACTCACGTTTACAACTTTTCTTAGAAATATTTCCTTTGTTTATTCATTCATTCATTCGGTATGTCATTATTATGGTATTATTTTGATCACTATTTAGTGTTGTTGTCAGTTGTAATCATCATCACCATTATCATCATCGTAATCAACATCATCATCATCAACAACAACAACAACATCATCATCATCATCATCATCAACAACAACAACATCATCATCATTATTATCTGCAACAACAACTAACAGCTTACTAACGCCATCACAATCATTACCAGTACCATTATAACGATCATAAATCATTTATCATCAAAATCAACACCATCTCTAAGAATATACATGTATAAAATAAAAAATTACAAAACAAACGGATTTATTTTCATTTTTTTTATTTTTAATTATCACTTTTAAATATACAAGATCAGTTTCACAAGATAACTCTACAGACATACGTTGCGCAGTGCACCAATGACTTATGTCTGATAATAAATATTTATACATGGGATACTCTACAGTTTAAAGACAAAATAGTAACCATAAAACATATCTGTACTTTTCAAAAAACTCGCCACTTATAATTTACAATAACAAACTTCTCATTTGAAGCAAATGAAACAAAAAAATACAGAATGGTTTTATAATGCAGTTCTTTAAATATATGTGTTTATGTGTTTAAATTATATAGAAAAATTGTGTAATGAAAACCAAAACCCCTCTAATTTTATTTTTTTATTATTATGATGATGCAGACTTGTTTAAAAGGAAAAACAGCAACGAAGTGTTGCATATCTTGCGTAGAACTTTAAAATAAAGTTAAATGTATATATGAATTGTGTAATTTATTTTTTTTGCCGTGTATTCCTTTAAAGCTTTCTTATAAAAGCCAACATTCTTTTAAAATATGAAATTGATTTTAAGAGACGTAGTTCAAGATTAATGTCACCATTTTTCTTTGAAATGCAAAAGGCAAAAAAGGTACGTGGAGAACAATTCATAAACTATATTTTTTACTTGTGTGTATGTTACATAGCACATTAATTCCACCTACAATATTAATCATATAAATGGCAAGATATAGCGACATTTGCATGACCGGTAATATATATTCATCACTATGAGACGCCAAACAAAAAGGGACCATACAAAAAGTAATGTTGGGCTGTACATTTTCATATTAATACCTACAAAAAATCATATTGTATCGTGGGTTGAATATTATTGCTTTTATTACTTTGTTAGAAAGTTATTGTTTATAAAACTATTGCACTAGTAAACTTTTTACTAGTATTTAGGTCCCATTTCGTCTGACGTCTCACATAAACAATGGATATTGTTTCAAAGCAAACAATAAACATAATTTGCTACTTAACAAACTTAACAGAACTAAAAGAACAAAAGACATATTTTACTATCGCTATGAAATAACTTCAATACAAATATCTAACAACAAAAATAAAATTCTCCTTTCATTTGTTTCTTTTAATTAAAAAACAACATGTTTTGTTTTAATTTCATAAAACAAGGTATCTAGAGCTGACGATTATTTAGTGAATGTAATTTGTTCATCTTGAAAGATATTTCTTGTCTGCTAATTAGATATGCATTTATATATTGTTTCTTTCCATTAAAAAGTATATTTATTTTCAATTAACTTTATGAGCATTGTTGGGGTTAACTTAAGTAGACTTTTATGGTTAAGATACGGTTCAACAAAACAATGGTGTTTAATTCTTTATCTATCACATCTGTTACAATACTTAACTATTAATATAAAGCGAAAATGTATAAAGTACTAAACAATTTATAAATTTACATTTTTTGTTAGTTAATGACAAAATCATGGATAGAATTTTTATCAGGGATTAGGAAAACATCACGCCTACAGTAGTACGATAAATTATCCGAAAATGAAATGAATTATTACCATGACAAGTAAAAAGCTGGGTATCGGTGCATACCCGTGGAGCCCAAACGGCATATCTTATACATAGAAACATCAGGGGGCCCAAAACTCATTCAAAATAGATATCATCTCATTAAAAGAGACCATATGGATTTCAGAAGTCAATGAATAATCTAGAAAACACTCTATATATATTATATATATCATTCAAATAAATTTAAGGGAGAAAAATGGTATTCTTTTACAATATTTAAAAAATGTCCCCAAGTAAACAACAAAATATTTTTTTTTTCTTAAAGCAAAAACCGGAACAAGATATTCAATTTTAGAATACTGGCCTTGAAAATCAACCTATTTAAGTCGCGTGCATCTACATATTCTAGTAACATACAATATATTTACTTTCAAAAAAAAATAGTCAAGAAATCAGAACTTATTCTGCCTATATTCCTCTACATAAAAAAGAAAACAACCAAGCGTCTGCCTTATATATTATTCTCATAAGTGTAATTAAATAATCAAGCACAACCTGGCAGACAAATTGAAACGTTTCTCTTTATCAAATATTATATAATTGCACACTTAAATTCTCAGTTTATTAGCAGAGAGTGAAATTGTGACTGCATCAAAGAACTTGAACATAAATACACTCAAATGTACAGACTTACGACAATCATTTCACCACATTGTTCTCTATTTTCTTCATTATTTCCATAGAAACGTAACGAAGGACACAAAATTGAAGATACTTAACTTCCAAGCTAATGTTTGTATAACCAATTATGGTCCAATTTAGCGTCAAGTTTCGCCCTGCTTTTTACGACAACTACGTCTTTGTGACGTTTTACAGTCAGTACATTGTAATACACAGTCACGTGGTCTATCACGTGACCACAAAATTGTCAAATGTCTACAACTAAGCGAGGTTATTGACTGGTACTGAAAATTGTTTTAATGCATTTTCGCTATTAAAACAAATTATATTGAACACAAAATATGACTTGGTTTTATCAAATGTATGTCATTTGACTTCACTACTATTAACTTTGGATTTTATTGAGCACTTATGACGTCAGACGCTCCACCAATGTTCGTCATTTCCGGTGTTCTCGTGACCTACTTTAAACTGAACACGACTAAAATGTGTATAATATTCCTTCCTGTCATAACGAATGCATTATTTGCGCACATTTATCACGAGTACTGGACTAAAGATGGCGGATGCAATGCGGAGAGGTGAGAATGCATGTGATGCGAATGCGAACCAAGTCCTAACCCACCTATCGGTGAATGCTCGTTGCTGGGTGGTGTCGGCATACCGGCGGCACTCTGGCATACATACCACTCACTGAATTTAGTCTGTGGCTGGGTATCAACTAAACTAGAATGGGGATTTATTGTCAAAGGAGGGCTAGATGCAATAGATTGGTTAGAGGTTTGAGTGTTTGTGTTCACTGGCGTCGGGGTTTCAGACGAGATAGGTTTGATATCTGTTGGGCTTGACATTGACTCCTCATTACTATGGCAATCGTCATCCGAATCGTAATCTTCCGGAACTGGCGATGTTTTTCCGTGAACTTTCATGTGTTTCCGTAACGAACTCGGGTGAGTATAACTTTTGTCGCAGCCACGGATCTTACAGTTGTATGGTTTATCGCTCGTGTGCACGTGACTGTGCTTCTTCCGGTCGGAGCTGTTGGCGAATCGTCTGTCGCAACCCTCGAACTCGCATTTGAATGGTTTCTCACCTATAAATATATATAAAGAATATTTTAGTCTAGAATATTTATACAAAAGTATGCTCAAAACCTGGCAAGTAGCAAAACCATTATCATACAACAGCATTTTATGATAATAAAGTAACAAAAAGCAATCTTATGCAAGTAAGGCAAGGCAGTTTCAAAAATCTATATATGAAATGTCATTAAAAGGAAACATATTTGTACGTGTGTTAGCTAGAAATTTATATTTTATTTTTGTGTTTATTCGAACAGATAAGATTTATTTTGCAAGTTTTTTGTTTCGTTTTAAACGATTGAATTATTCTTACTTTTTGCTCTAGGATTTGAAAATAGAAACAGTTATTTATTTCCTCCGTGTTCCTTTTTATTTACAATATTGGATCGATGTGTGGAGTCATAAGTCAGACTTAATATGGATCTTTTTCTTTGAATTTTTACTTGTTTAATAACTTCTCTTAAACACCCATTAATATTTCTATAGAATAAGCATTAAATATTAATTGATATCGAAGATTTTTATACATTTTAAAACAGTGTCGGCGACAGTTATACTGAAATTCCTTGCGATAACAAAAGCTCGCAAAACAATGCCTCGCAAAAAAGGTAAATAGTAAGAGGAATTTATCCGTTTATTTATTTGATCAAAAACAAGCGCTCCGGTATTATTTTATTTACAGTATACCGGTTATATTCACCAGTGTGGGCTTAACAATGTGTCGCAAAGTCTACTATATCGCCCCTTCTGAAGTCTCCTCTGAAATTGTATGAATTTGTCTTCAAGCCATGTAACGTAAACATTTCCCATTCACAAGACCCCAAACATTTTCGACCAGAGGTTAATATAAGATACCCGGTGTTCGGTATTGTAATAAAGTTTCAATTATGTTATAGAATGAATAAATAAAGGCCCATTGTCCCGATGGGACGCCTATGCAAAACTATCGAAATTCCTCCGCTCAAGTTTTTATTCAGCATTTCGGTGTTTTTAATGTAAACTGAAAGGCGTATATTGTGACTCTGTCTGTTTGCATTTGAGAACCATTACAAATTTGATATAAGCAGAATAAAACGCTGCGGGTAACATTGAATTTAAGTATTTTTTGAAGTTTTGACACTTATAAATTACAATTGCTGAACATTTGAACAAGTGACATGGCATAGTGTTTAGTGTATTTTAATAATTTTCTGAAATAATTCCTGCAGAGAGGGTGAAAAATCGCCTAACAATTGACTTAATATCGAAATAAGTAATGCAGTATCAAATTGCCTGTGTTTAGATAGCGCGCACTCTAACATATATTGTAATTATTCATTCGTAGTGTGTAGTTTTTCAGGGTCGACACTGTCTTTTCGTGAAATAAACACACTTCGTTTGTTAAATAAGCATATTCACATGTATACAGTATTGATTAATATTCAAATTGATAAATCACGAAACAGTAACAAATATCGGAAAGTGTATTAGGCGAATTGATTGAAATCATAAATCGAAATATTTATTTATTCAGAAATTTATTCTGGAAAATTCTTCAGACAATGTTTCTGTAAATACGAAAGTTTGTTCCCATTAAGCGATAATTCATTGAGTTAATTAGATTTATCTCTGATATATGATTCACATTTTATAAATGATATAAGCGATTCCCTTCCCGATATGCATCACTCAAAGTGGACAGTATCATTCACTGAATCTAAGAATCCGCGAAATCAGTAATTAATTACCTAAATTAACACATGACCAAATTGTATCCCGAAACTGGCTACATTTTATCAAGATATAGAAATGATAAAAGAATTCACTAGCGTCAAATTGCACGTGCAAAAGAAATGACGGGTCAGTTCGGGCTTTTAAAGAATATTAAAATTAATTGTAAAAAAATATAACAAGATATGAAGAAAATGATATAACTGCTGAATTCCTTACATTTTCAAATTAAATATAAAAAAAATATTATTTTAGTGATATTTGTAAAAGAAATTTATTGAACACATAGAAGAGCTTTCTTAATTAATGTTTCTGAACACGTTTTTGAATTTTAATGGATTAATGATAAATCATTCGATGAATTTCATGTTGTTGTTGTTGTTTTTTGCATAATATTTAATCATAATTATTAGTTATTCATGAAAAGTTTGCACATTTCTGTCATAAATTATTATTTATGCGCTATTACATTACATAGTTTAAAACGTTATATATCCGATAAACAGAACATATACAATAATAATGAGATTTTTTAACAAAGAAAGACTTGATATGGATATTAGTTAAAATACTTATGTACATAATTATATTTTTCTTCAGACTTTTTTTTCGTTATTGAACTTGACTAGAGGGCATAAATAAATATGATACATTCTGGAAATAAATTTGATATAATATTTTCATTTATTTTCCTTTTTCCTTTCTTTGTTTGTAAGTATAATAGTATTTTTAGTTTAGTTCCCCTTTTCTTTCTACATTACCAACTGGGTCCAGTATCACATGGAACTGATTATCACGACGTGTCAAAATTATGGGCACTTAGAATCATAAAGTACTTGGCAAAACTGACATCTAAATTAATACCGTTTTGTCCATCTATATCAACACTAAGTGTCGGCTTCTCGAAAACGGAAATGTGCTACATGAAAGATGACCGGATATTTCTTGAACTTAAATATTTAATGTTAAAATTTCATTAAAATGGTTATATATTATTTTGAATATAAAAAGATACATTTTAAAATGGTTAATAACTTTTTAAAAAATATAGAAAAAACATATTGTGCAAGAAATACTAAGTAATTGAATGTAAAATAATCATGATATAAAAATTTGTTATTTTTTCTGTAATAACCAAAATAAATTGCCTAAACTTCATACAACAAACTAGAAAGAAAAAAATCAGTTTATTTTCTTCGTGTATTTTTATTATTATTAACATTATTTTTAAAAACTTTGTACAAACTATTAACTTTTAAACAGATAATTTTTACAGGAAAGAAACCTTTTTATTTACAAACTTTAACTTTCAGTAATATTTAACAGGAAATTATTTCAAGATATATTTTTAATGAAAATTTGTGCTAGCGTGCACATTTTCAACGTGGTCCGTGGCAAAACCTCATTTGCAACGCATTATTATAAACGTGTCAGATTGTAACATTCTGCAAACATTTCTCTCACAGAGTATTACAATAATTAAATTTTATATTCATAAAACTCATAAACATGGAACAATAAAATCCATGTTGTGTGTCAAATTTCATTTTCCCGCCATTTAGAAATACATCCGAATCGTTTATGTATATTTTTATACCCACTCGTTCGCCACTTACAATTGGCACATAATGCACGATGGGTTGTTAAGGAGTATTTCCATCCATCATTCTTCAAGAATGAGCCACGAAACTCTTGCTAATTCATTACTGTATACATTAAATGGTGTTTATTTTCAAGAGCTTTTAGGGTTCATGTGTATACATTTGTGTTGAGTGTTAACTATAAAAATGACAGACAGAAATGGTAAGAATCGGTACACATGTCAGCACGTGAAATTTCCCGCGTAAATACGAGTATGTAATTAAGCAGTTATTATATGACGTGCTCTTTCAGTGATCTGCCATACGTTAATGTGCCGAACTTAAGTGACATTTATTCTAAATCTAAAGATACATACAAAAGTGCTGGCCACCACATTCATGAAATTAATAAATGCACAATTCATTTGTTATTATAGCTCAGATACATATATAATTTTTAACTTTACACGTATTGTTTACATGTATCGTTAGAAATGTATTGTTTAATATATATCAATATAATTATATCTTTAAATGTACACACACATACTGTTTACACTTTTAAGTAGTAGCATTTTATTTGTATTTTATTTTAATAATTATATTTTAAAACCGAAAATTTTATTGTTGTCAGGAACGCAATATTTTGATCATGTTAATATATTAATATTTTATTTATCTATCTTTCTGTTGCTCTAAATGGTCATATTTACACACTTTAAATATATATGTGAAAAAACAAGCGTAATATTCATCCACAACATTCATTTCAAATTTGTAATACCATAAAATATACATGTATGATTAAAAAACCTCTTGATAGGAAAATATGTCTTAAATAAAAAATAATTCTAGATATTTGCCACCTTAATAAAAATTCTGTTTGTAAAATATTGATGTTACATTCTTAAAAGAACGGAGACATTTTTCTCTCTTATGTTGTTTGGAATATGTAATTCACATTTCTTTTTGGTTCTGCACATATTAGTTTCAATTATCAGGGCGGAATTCACAACAACAAAAAAACAACTTCAGAAAACAACTTGCTAGAAAATGCAGGCAGTCAAAGGAAGTTTTGGATCAAGAAGGAAAAGAAGAAGAAGAAAAGTTAATTAAAACATTTAGAGTATGTAAAATCGTAATTGTTCCGGCAGAGGTTGGTCAATTTTTTCACAGCATACTTCAAAGTGTTGCACGTTATGGGAGAGCCGAAATAAGACGAAAGCGGTGAAAGACAGCTTCATTGGATTTGGCAGCGTTAAGAGCTTACAAAGTGCTGTTTGTCAGTGTATTTCTCATGAAACATAAATAAAACGCGCGCGTAATGGAGGCTCTACAAACAGGTGCTTTCTTAATTCGTGGCTTTTATGATTTCCACTCAAATCATTATGTTATATAGTTGTTTTGAAGATATTATTAACAGAAACGGAATGTTATTATGTTCTTAAAAAATACTCAATTTCTGAGTTATACAAGATTTTGTAATTAATATATTTATTTATTATTTTACGTATCCCTTTTGCAATAGAAGTGAATTTATTAATAATATTGAAATAAAACAAAGATAATTTTAGTAATAACTTTTATAATAGCGTCATGTAATCTCATATCAGAAATTTATTACTATACAAGTTTCTAATTAACAGTACAGAATAGAACAGAAGTTCTACATGTTGTAATATTGAGTTAAATAATTAAAAGACACACAATTCTATTCATAC